AAGGGTAGGTTTCTGTCCACAGTTCTGAAAGGGTAGGTTTCTGTCCACAGTTCTGAAGGGGCGGGTTTCTGTCCACAGTTCTGAAAGGGTAGGTTTCTGTCCACAGTTCTGAAAGGGTAGGTTTCTGTCCACAGTTCTGAAGGGGCAGGTTTCTGTTTACAGTTCTGAAAGGGTAGGTTTCTGTCCACAGTTCTGAAGGTGCAGGTTTTTGTCTAGTTTTGAAGTGGGGGGTTTCTGTTCACAGTTTTGAAGGGGCAGGTTTTTGTCCAGTTTTGAACTGGCGGGTTTCTGTCCACAGTTCTGAAGGGGCAGGTTTCTGTCCACAGTTCTGAAGGGGCAGGTTTTTGTCCAATTTTGAAGGGGCAGGTTTCTGTCCACAGTTCTGAAGGGGCAGGTTTCTGTCCACAGTTCTGAAGGGGCAGGTTTCTGTCCACAATTCTGGAGGGGCAGGTTTCTGTTTACAGTTCTGGAGGGGCAGGTTTCTGTCCATGGTGCTGAAAGGAAAAGTTTCTGTCCATGGTGCCAAAGTGCAGGCCTGTGCACAGTTTGGGGGAAGGTGCTCAAAAGAAAGGTCAGTCTGTATATATGAATGAATTTTACACACAGAGTCTCGTACAAATCTGTTTTTTTTTCCAATGACAAAAGCTTGTTTTATAGGTGTGGTTTCCAGCACTGTGCATGCAGCTGAGAGCAAAAGGGCAGAGCATTAAGTCCCTTCTAGGGTCACCACTGCATGTGCCTGCTGAAGGGGCAGTTTTTGGTGCAGGTTTCTGCCCATGGTGCTGAAAGGGCACTTTATCCTTGTACCAGATGCTGACGGGGCAGGCTGGTTATGCAAGTTGCTGGGTTCTATGTTTTTAAGTTCACATGATCATTTTAAATCATTCCCTTTACTGAAGATAAACATTTATTCAAAACCTATATTACCCATGTGAAAAGTAATTGCCCGCCTGAGCCTAATAACTGGTCGTGCCACCTTTGGCGGTAACAACTGCAATCAAACATTTGTGATAACTCTAGATGAATTTTTTAAATTGCTGTGGAGGAATCTTGGCCCACCCCTCTTTATACAATTGTTTTAATTTGACTACCCTGGAAGGTTTTTGAGCATGAACTGCCCGTTTAAAGTCCCATGGCATCTCAGTGGAATTCAAGTCAGGACTTTGACTCAGCCAAAACCTTAATTTTGTTTCTTTTAGGCCTTTCAGGTGGACTTGCTTGTGAGCTTTGGATCATTGTCCTGCTGCATAAACCAACTGCGCTTGAGCTTTAGGCCAGAAACTGACAGGCACACATTATCTTCAAGATTCTCTGATGGAGAGCAAAATTCATGGTTCCATCAATTCTGACAAGTCGTCCAGGTCCTGCAGAAGCAAAGCAGCCCCAGACCATCACAGTACCACCACCATGTTTGACTGGTGTTAGCTTTATGCCTAATGTAATGGGACCCATGTCTTCTAAAAAGTTCCACCTTTGACTCATCAGTCTACAAAATATTAACCCAAAAGTCTTAGGAGTCATCTAGATGTTTTTTTGGGGAAGCGTGAGATGAGCCTTTATATACTTCTTGGTCAGCAAGGGTTTGTATCTTGCAACTCTCCCATGGATGCCATTTTTGCCCAGTGTCTTTCTTATTGTGGAATTGTGTACATTGACCTTAACTGAGGCAAGAGAGCCCTGCAGTTCTTTAGATGTGCGTCTGTTTTTTGTGACCTCCTGGGTGAGTGATCACTGTGCTTTTGGTGAAATTTTGGTAGGCCGGCCACTCCTGGGAAGATTTACCACTGTTCCAGGTTTTCTCCATTTGTGGAAAATGGCTCTCATTGTGGTTCACTGGAGTCCCAGAGCCTTCACAATGGCCTTGTAACCCTTTCCAGACTGGTAAATTTTAATGTCTTTGTTTCACATCTGTATTTGAATCTCTTTAGAAAGTGGCATCATGTACTGCTTTTTCAGAGCTTCTAGATGCTTCATATTGCCAGACAAGTTCTATATAAGTGATGTTTAGATTCAACAGGTCTGGCAGTAATCATGCCTGGGTGTGGTTGGTGAAATTGAACCCAATATTCAGTTGAATATGGTTAACTGGCTGAGTTACTAGCTAAGGTGGCAATTACTTTTTACATAGCGTAAGTTGGGCTAAACAGTATTTTTCCTTTAATAAAGAAAATTGTCATTTAAAACAGCATTTTGTGTTTACTTGGTTCATCTTTGTCCACCGTTTAAAAGCAGTTTGATTATCTAAAACATTCAAGTGTGACAAGCAAGCAAAAATAGAAGAAATTGACCACTAGAACGCACCAGACTAGAGCAGCAGCACATAATCCCAAGGTCAACGTGCTCCCCATGCTTAATGCCAGGTCTCACCCAGAGGAGCATAAATGCCAAATACCTGTGTGATGAGTTGGAGTGATCCAGAACTGATCACCCAGCATCAGTACCTGACCCAGAGGTCGGCAACCCAAACCACCTTGAGAGCCACAATATTTGATGTCCAGTTTACCATCTTGGCTGTATATAAGTCTCAGTATGTGCTAATGCACTAGCATAGGCTAAAAACTATAAAAGAAAAATGCAGACTTACTTTGCTCTGCTTTACACTTTAGCTCAGCTATAGCTGCTTTTCTCACATCTCTGGCAGGAAACTTTTCCAGAAAAGTGGAACAGTTTTTTGTAAAATGTCTCTAAACATTCGACTTTTTACAAGGCTGAAGGCAGCTTCTCTTTCACCAGCTTCTTGTTCGAATTTTCCCATTCCACCTTAAATGGTGTCTGAGGTGACAGAATGTAACTGCTGCTCCAGGTGGAAGGTGGAACCGTAAAGAATTAGAACAAGAAGCTGGCAAATGAGAAACTGCCTTCAGCCTCGTGACTTTAGCATTTTTCTTTGCAGATTAAACACATCAGGGAACCGGTTGGGCTGATTATAAAGCAGATAAATCAATTTGTCTCCAAATTATCGATATTCATCTTAAATCTCTCTCTGTGCCATTTCGTTAGCTACTAGCTAGGCAAGACTGCTGTCTGTAGTGATGTGACTAGCAGTCTGTGAACCAACCTTCAGGGTTAAACGGTGAATTGGCTGAAATAGGCTACATTAACTCCAGCGTTTAAGACCATTTATTGTTCAAACTGTGTTGAATGATCAGCAGAGCTTTATTTTACTGCAAAGGACGATTATTTTATTTTTACCCACAAATCTGATTCTGCTGTGGAGCCGCAACAGGGCAGTAAAAGAGCCGCATGCGGCTCCAGAGCCACATGTTGCCGAACCCTGATTTGACCTCACTAATGCTCTTGTAGCTGAATCCAATCAAATCCTCACAACAATGTTCCAACATCTAGTGTAATTCCCAAAAAACCAACAGTGAATCTACATGTGTTTTTCTATGTAATGTTTACACTCTCAGAAATAAAGGGACTGCACTGTCACTGGGGCAGGACCCCTCTTGTCACTGGGGTGGTTCCCTCAAGGGTACATCTCAGTAACTTTAGTCAGGGAACATAACTGAACCATAATCCACTGAAATGATATTTTCTAAGCTGTACTGACTCCACACACCCCGTCTCGCCTCCAGGCTTTTATTTTATTGTTCTGTTTTAAACAATAAGGTTATGAAAAGGTACAGATACGAATTTTTCACCTGGGAAGAACTTATTTAAGGTTCACAATCAGACCTTAAAACCACTGTTGTACCTTTGAGGGAACATTTGCATTGTTTGTATCTTGATAAATGAAAAATATTCCTGCACAGAACCTTTATTTCTAACAGTGCATGATGGTAACATAGTGGTAAATCAGAAACAATACATTTTCTTTGGGGACTGTTTTGCCTCACAGCCCCCACCATCAGCGCTGGTTCAGCGTCTGACTGCACTGTGATTGATCACCTCTCTGACTTTAGGGGTTCATCTTTTTCATTTTAGACCAAAAGCAAAGCGAAAAGAGAAGAATACACTCTCAAAAAGACAGTTCTTCAAGGGTTCTTTAGTAAAGAAAATGGTTCTATATAGAACCATGAACACTCAATTCTTTAGATTGATGGAGAATGTGCTGTGCAATGTCAAGCTTGTTACAATAGAAGAACCCTTTTTGTGCTATGTAGAACCCTTTTTGACGGTGCTATATAGAATCATCTACAGCACATTCTCCATCAATCTGAAGAACCTTTTCATCATCAAATTTTATTCATGCAAAGGGTTCTTTGAGTGTTTATGATTCTATATAGAACCATTTTCTTTACTAAAGAAGAACCAACTTGAAGAACCATCATTTTGAAGTATGTAAAGCCTAACAAACTTCAGGTCCTAAGCTGACAACTATGCTGCAAATGTCAGGTTTCACCACAGTTCTAGAAGTTATTTAGTACTTAAGTAGTTCTAAGCTGCTATTGTTGTATTTCTATTCAAGTTTTATTATTATTATTATTATTATTATTATTATTTCCTCCTCCACATGCCTCTGTATGTCCTACACTCTAAACATTAGGAACGCCTGCCTTCCACTCTGAACCACTCTTAAAAAAGATGGTTCCTCAAGGGTTTCTACAGTAAAGACAATGGTTCTATAGAACCATCTACAGCACATTCCCCATCAGTCTGAAGAACGCTTTCATGATGCAATGAACCCTTTAGTCGTGCAAAGGGCATTTTTGTGTTCATGATTCTTTCTATAACCATTTTCTTTACTAAGGAACCCTTGAAGAACCATCTTTTCAAGTGTGTAGAGCCTAACAAACTTCGGTTCATGTGCTGATAGACGCTGGATGTGCCAAGACGTTCCACGTCAGTTGGAGACATTTTTCAGGACTTAGCTAGTTCTTAGCTGCTCCTGTTGTATTTCCACCCAAGTCGTTTTATTATCATTATTATTATTATTATTGTTATTATTATTATTATTATTATTTTCTCCTCCACGTGCCTTTGTATGTCCTATACTCTAAACATTAGGAACGCCTGCCTTCCACTCCTAAAAAAGGTGGTTCCTCAAGGGTTCTTCAGTAAAGACAATGGTTCTATATAGCACCAAAAGGGTTCTGTTATTGCCAAGCTTGTAGCAGTAGAATGACTCTTTTTGGTGCTACATAAAAAGGTTCTATATGAAACCATATACAACACATTCTCCCTCAATCTGAAGAACAGCTGCACCATGTAAAGAACCGTTTAAGCATGCACATGGTTCCTCAAGTATTCATGGTTCCATATAGAACCACTGTCTTTATTAAAGAACCCTTGAAGAACCATCTTTTTTGTCAGCGTGCTATTGGCTAGTGGCTCACTCTCCCAAGCCAACCACCGCTCTGGAAACCGAACCTAGAAGCCAATCGTAGCGCTGGTAGGCGCGGGTTTGTCGGAATACGGGCGGAGCTTTCCGAAATACGGGTGGGAAAAATAATAGCCGGTCTCAGCTCCGGATTTTACCGCAATGCATCAGACGTAGCCTCTCTCTCTCTCTCTCTCTCTCTCTCTCTCTCTCTCTCCTCTCTCTCTATATCTGGACTCATTCTGCTGGACTTTATTCGGCTCAGGATGGCTTTGCAGCTCGTGAACAGATAACCTGCTTTCTTTCTTTCTTCCTTTCTTCTCGTAGCAATACCTGCGTGACTGAGACTGACTGTACTGACCCTACCAACACGCAGTGGACTTTACTCGCTTCTCCTATTTTATTTTTCCTTTCAGAGGGCAAAAAGACGAGAGGAAAGGGCAGAGAGGACAGGAGCGCGTGAGCTTACTGCCCCCAAAACCATACAGCCTCGTGCGATGCGCTAAACGCGGAGCAGAGGAATCATTTGCATGTAAATAGAGTTATGCTGATTGACCGCCGGTCGACTTTACGCACATTTGTCGAGTTTATCCTGCAAAGCTGCATGCAGGCCTTGCAGGGGTACCGAACGCATGTGACGCCACGTTAACGCGCTTCTCATCTGTTTTTGTTTTTGTTTTCTTTTTCTTTTTGCATAGAAATTGAACTATTTTAAGGAGCCTCTTTCACGTATAACAAGGTGTGGAGCATCATTTTAAAGAATATGCGTGTAGAATGACGTCTACAGATCTCAGGACTATCAGTCTCAGGTTAAAGTAGTTCATTGATTGCCTGCTTGCAGTCCAGCTGTCAGAGGCTTCCTCTGCAGTGCTCATGGGGGTTTGTTTCTGAGGCGAGGGTTCTTCAAAAAAAGGAGCAATAAAGAGTTGAGAAGAGTGCACTTGTGCACTTTTGCTATGCACGTAGAGCCAAAGACTCGAGCATGTGTGCTTGAAAGGAGCTGCAGTGCAGCTCAGCTGCTGTGTGTTTGGCACGTTTTAGTCTTCCGCTAAGCTCCTCGGGGCCTTGAAGCACTACTTCAGATGACGTACTGTAACCTAAAGCCGCACAGTCACTGACTCAGAGGCCTAGAGCCTGAAAAAAGTCTTCCACAGATCCTTACGTAGCTGAGTGAGTGGTGAAACTCTTACTAGATTAACAGACTGAGGGCTCAGGAGGCCTCAGGTGGTCAGAAAGCCTCCAGAGATAGACTAGACTGGAGGTCGGGACTGAGAAGACAGATCTTCTGTCTACTTGCTGCTAAAGCCACAGTGCTGCTGACCCTGTGAAGACTCAGAGGTGGTCTTACTCACAAGAGAAACAAGTGAGGTCATCAGCAACCAGAGGCCAATCCCTTCTTCCCGCAGCCAGGATGGAACGCACAGCGCATCACTTCCTGTCCGGCATGTCTGCCAGGTGCTTCTTGTTCCTGTGTGTGCTCTGTGCTCTGTGTGGTGAGTCGGCATTTTCTCGCAGCAGCACTTACCGCATGTAGCGGGACGTTCCGTAACACTCTAACCTTGAGCCACCTTGATCTTGTCCTCCGTTTTTTTCATGGATTTTATTTCCCCTGATTTATGTGGTTTAAAAGACAGTCTTAATTAGTTTTTACACAAACTCTATTTTTTAAACAGGCTGTTTTTGTTACTGTGCCTTTAAGACTGATGTGTGTAAATGAGCCCTGTTCTGATTGGCTGCCCTGTATCGCACCTCCTTCAAAGAGCCATTCAGGATGAAACACTCCTTATAACTTCAGTGTGAATGGGTGGGGCTAAATTGCCATGGACCATTTTACCAAATTAGTTCAAACTGCTGTCTCACATTAAAAAAACAAAACTATTGGAAAAACAAAACAATTAAGTATTCAGACCTTAAATATTTACAGGAATTATGTTAAGATCTAATTAAACCCAAGGCATTATTGACATAGTAAACTTACACTTCTAATAATAATACTTCATTTTTTTGCATTTTTTAAAATAAACAAGTGTAGCTAAAAGTTTAAGATTTATCATGAGTTTGATTTATAAATGAAAAAAATGAAAAATACTGTCCCATACTGTCTACACAGAGAGTTTTTGTCTGTAGGCGGAGCCTTATTTTAGCCACGCCCCTGCATTTTAGAGCAGGAAGTGGGGCTGCGTCCCATTCCTTATGGCTACATGGTGAGCAGTTAGATCCCACTGTTTTGAAAATCAGTGTGGAACATTAAAATTGTCACCACTGAAACACATATTTTTGCAATTCAGTGAACAATTTTGTGTTTTAAAGCTTGTTTGTTAGTCGTGTACTGGCTGGAGTTCAGCTTAAAATGAACTATAATTCATCTATAATTCATGTCATTACTGAAACAGTCACTACTGAAACATTTGATATATGAAATATATTCTGGAAGTGACAAAATGGAATATTCAATCATTTGTTTTCAATGAAATAAACAAAATTGGGGTCACTCAAAGCAATAGGATTTTAGTCTAATTCCAGATCAGTTAACCCTTTAAAATCCCAGGTTTATTACATGCTAAGACTTACACCAATCAGGCATAACATTACGACCACCTCCTTGTTTCTACGCTCATTGTCCATTTTATCAGCTCCACTTACTATATAGGTGCACTTTGTAGTTCTACAGTTACAGACTGTAGTCCATCTGTTTCTCTGCATACTTTGTTAGCCCCCTTTTACCCTGTTCTTCAGTGGTCAGGACCCCCATGGACCCTCACAGAGCAGGTACTATTTGGGTGGTGGATCATTCTCAGCACTGCAGTAACACTGACGTGGTGGTGGTGTGTTAGTGTGTGTTGTGCTGGTCTGAGTGGATTGCTGGACTGAGAATAGTCCACCAACCAAAAATATCCAGCCAACAGCGTCCTGTGGGCAGTGTCCTGTGGGCAGCGTCCTGTGACCACTGATGAAGGACTAGAGGATGACCAACACAAACTGTGCAGCAGCAGATGAGCTATCGCCTCTGACTTTACATCTACAAGGTGGACTGACAAGGTAGGAGTGTCTAATAGAGTGGACAGTGAGTGGACAGTGTTTAAAAACTCCAGCAGCAGTTTAGTTCCAGCAGCAACAATATAACAGTATAAACACTATTCTACTATCCTTTATACATCCCTCACCTCCGTCACCTCTGACTCTATCGTTACCTGAACACTAACTCAAAGCTCACATCCTGCCTGCTTAATAAAGCCCTGCAGATAAAGTGTCACTTTAAAGCTCCAGGCACTAGAGTTTCTTTCTTTCTTACAGCTTAATTACAAGTAAACTAATCCGTGTTAACCTGCACAACCTAAAGACGTCAATAAGACTGGTTACCGCGGAAAAGTGCTGATCCACCTCTGCATAAATAATGGTCATGCAGTAATGAAATGTACTTGAAGTGGCTAAAAACAGTGCTTCTCAAAGGCATTCAATCTCCTTAAAAGTCATCTGATTTGTTTGCATTACAAATGACACTGATATTTTATGCCGTGTTATGCTTATTTCAAATCCCTGACCCTCAAATTTAATTCCTTTAACGTGATATTGGTTTTCTAAAGAAAATATTTGGGGACAAAAACGACTACCTGAAAAATGCGGTTTGCGTAAGTATTCAATCCCTGTTCTCCAGGTTTACACGGATGAAAGATATGGCCTAATGAGAACACAGTTGGCTTACAAGTGGCCTCTACCTGTGAATCATTAAAAAATTCTGCTTTTCTGGAAAAAAGACCCCCTCAATTCAAGTATCACTGCTCAGACTGTGAATCTGAAGGAAACTGTGAAAATGAGTCCATAGAGCACTTTAATGTAATCAGAGAAGAGGTTATGTAGGAAAAGGCTACAAAATAATATCCAAGTGTTTGGATATTCCAGTGGGCAGTTATGAGGAATTGGAAGCTACACCATACCACTCGGGCACTGCCTAGACAAGGCCGTCCCTCAAAACTCAGCATCAGAGCAAGAAGGGAACTTGTGAAGCCACAGAGAGGCCAACAGTCACTTTTTTTCAGCTGGTGAGACTGGAGTGAAGGTGCACCAGTCAGCATTATCAAGAGCTCTGCAAACAACTGGCCTGTATAGGAAGTGACTAGAACGAAGCCATCACTAGAGAAAAACCTCATTAAAGCTTCTGTACAGAGCTAAAATGTGGGATAAGGTTTTGTTGTCAGATGAGACGAAAACTGAGCCTTTTGGCTAAAATTTAAAACACAGTATGGCAAAAATGAATACTGCTCATTCCTCAACACATAGCATCCCAACAGTGAAGCATGGTGGTGGCAGTGTCATGTTGTGGAGAAGCTTTTCCTGAACTGTAGAGTGTGTGCATGGTGCAAAATACAGGAACATACTGCTAGACAAGTCTGCTTGGGAGCTTGGAAGAAGCTTCATCTTTCAGCAGGACAGGGAACCCAAAGCTTCACAGGACTGGCTGAAAAACAAAAAGGTCAGTGTTCTACAATGGCCAAGTCAAAGTCCAGATCTCACTCCCAATTGAGAATCTGTGTCAAGTTAATCTGTGTTAAAGCTGTTATTGCAGCAAACGGTGGTTCTGCCAAGTACTAGTCTGAAGGGGTCGAATACTCACGCAAGCAGAATATTTAAAAATATCTACGGACAAATAATACATTTTTGCCTTGAGAATTTACTTTAAGAGCATATTTGTTTGCAATAAAAGTTCAGCCTGGAACAGTATTTTACTGTATATGTGTCGTTTGTAACCCAGACGAATCTGATGACTCTTAAGAGGGTTGGATACTTTTGCAAGGTATTGAATAAAGTAACAGTGATTTTAAAACAAATCCTCTGTCAAATGTGAAAAAAACATCTCAACGCAGCTTAAACTAGACAAAAATACCAGATTCCCAAGTCCAAGTTTTTAACACTTCAATATGGGGAACATTATAACACCCCTTTATTGTTATTAACACGCCAGTAGTTGGTACCTAACCAGGTCCACATTACTAATTTTTGAAACAGTAACTAGGGTGAAAGTCAGGGTCAAAGACCAGGGTTTTCACTTTAGAATAAGGCGCTTGTTTGTATTAACAGAGACATCTGATGGATTTACAGTTGTGATTTTGATAAGAATCATAAAAAAACTAGTGATTTGAAAAGAAAAATTCTGATGTGATGGTATTTTATTACAGAGTTCAGCAATGAGCACATTATATATATATACATACATACATACATCATCTAAACCGCTTATCCTTCTGGGTCGCGGTGGGGTGCTGGAGCCCATCCCAGCCGTCACTGGGCGGAAGGCAGGACACACCCTGGACAGGTTACATATATATATATATATATATATATATATATTATATATATATATATATATATATATATATATATATATAATTCTGGAAACACTTCATACACCCTAATTGTTGCTAGATGAAATGTTAATGAGCCAGTTGATTGCCAGCTTGATGGCTTGGTGGTGCTTAATAAGAGCCTTAAGCATTATAATGCCCCCTATAATGCCCCTATTGTTTTTTTTTAATATTCAGTACTGTACTGTATGTTAGATTTTTCACATGACCGCTGTATTTCAAGACTATGGAGGAAATGTCTGGTTGGGAGTTGAGGTGTTCATCATTACTGTTTTTGACAAAGTAGAAGAAACTATGCTTCCTCTTTAAATTATTAGGTAATCGTTTCCTGTATATTTAAACGTCTCTGAGATATTCTGGGACAAAGGCAGAGTTGTCAGTTTTCAGCTGTTACTTCACTCACCTGAGTGAAGATGAAAGTACAGCAGGAATAGGAATCCTGCGGGCATAAAACTGTCAGTAAGCGCTTCAGAAGACAATAATAACTCCATGAAAAAGCCCAGTTGTTGTTGAAATCTGCACCCATAAAATGCAGCCAGATGACGAACTGCCAGTTGAACATCACAGGCTGCTGCTATCAGACTCACTTTAACTGGTTTTCACTTTATATTCTCTTTATAACTGGAGATATTTTGCCCTCACTAGAGTAGGCTGAGCAGGTCAGTAGAAAGCTCAAGTCAAGACAGCTTTATTGTCAATACTACAATATGTACAGGACATACATATTGAAATTGCGTTACTCTCGGACCCCATGGTGTAGCAATAACATTAAATAGACAGCAAACAGGAAATGTGTGAATGAAATAGACACTAAATAAACACTAAACACTAATCGTAAAAATAAACACTAATTGTAGAAAAATAGAATAATAAAAAAAAACTAATATAAATATAAGAAGGTCCCTGAATTTAACAATAAAGTGACAAAGCTAACTGGCTAAAGGCAAACAGACTAATGCTACAATAATAAAAGATAGATGCCAAGTTCAAGCCATTAAAGAATGAGTTAATGCATTACTGCAACCTGCAAAGTAAAGAATATGTTACTTATTTAAATGTTACAAACTTAAAATATCTGTATTTAAACTTCACTGACATCAAAATCCAGTCCCTGTGCCGAGCTAACACCACTAGTTTGACGCTAACATCATAGTGAAAAATGACCTAGTAGAAAGGAGCGTTATCATAATAGTTTTTGCTCTGTAATGGCAAACACTTCATAGGTTTGACATGGATTTGATATAGACTGTAGTAGCATGAGCAGTAATTGCTGTAGGCTATAAACACGATCCACTGACTTAAACAGTTCTCTTACACAGGTTCAGGTTTCTGTTGACAGATCGATTACAAACATCAGGACAAAAGCAAGAACCACAACGATAAAGAATATATTATTTATATATATATATATATATATATATATATATATATATATATATATATATATATATATTATTATTATTATATATTATTTATATATAATATATAATAATAATAATAATATATATTATATAAAGCAAAATATAAAATTATATATAAAATTATAATATTATATAAAAGCAAGAACCACAACGATAAAGAATATATTATTTATATATATATATATATATATATATATATATTATTATGATATATTATTTATATATATATATATATATATATATATATATATATATATATATATATATATTTCTATCATGTTAGGATATTCAAAGCATTTAATATGTCGTCTGTATACACTGCGCCACAGGTTCCATACATGAGCCTGTCGAAACATCATGGGGTGCACTAATAACATGAATAAAATTGTGTCCTTATTTCCCTCTAATGGTAAAACCTGATAAAGAATAAAACACGTTTCCCTCTCAGTAGGAGAAACAGTGTATTTTCAGCGAATGCATTACAAACACAAAACAACCTGAATATGTCGTGGTGTTGAGCTGTTTTCATGCCTCAGATGTCCTGTGGAAGTATTTTGGTGCTGCATCTTACAACACAATTCTAAAAAAGTCGGGACGTTGTGTGAAATAAAAACAGAAAGCAGAAACGAGTAAACAATGTTTGACCTGTATCACATTAAAAGCAGTGCAAAAACACAGTATTTGGTATTTTATCTTATGAACTGATTTTTTTTTTTTCATAAATACAAACTCATTCCAAATGTGAAGCCAAAAAGGTTGGGACAGGAGCATGTTCACCACTTTGTTACATCAGCTTTACTTTTAACAGCAGCTAATAATCGTTTGGGGACTGACGATACAAACTGTTCGAGTTTTGAAAGCTAATTTCTTTGTCATTCTTCAGTTATACAAGTCTTCAGCTGTGCAACCATACAGGGCCTTTGTTGTTGAATTTTGAATACGCCTCTTCTCCTAGCATCACTGCAGTGATGTATTGCATATATACAGTACTGTGCAAAAGTCTCCGGCACCTAAGCAGATTATTTAAAACCATTTATCTTGGCAGTAAGTGTATTTTAATCATATGTCATTAGAATAAATGCAAATAAACATAAATACTGTAAAAAAAAAAAAGTAACTAAGAATTCTTGTCCTCAAAAATGTAGTTGATATTCTGTGAGCTAGTTTAGAACAAACTTTGGTTCCAGATTTCTCCTGGACGCCTCCGGCCTTCGCATATATCTGTTACGTTCCATTGCAGCACTCTTGATTTAACATGATAAAGCATTGATTGATTGATGATAACTACGAGTAATACTGAGCTTCCACGAGGAGGCGTTCAGAAATGGTTAAACAAACACATTGACATACACAAAAGCACTACTCATTTCATTTGTATTTACTGTAATAGTGTTTCTTTTTTCTTTTTCTTCTTGAATATAATTTTCCCAGGTGCCTGAAAGTCTTGTACGTTACTGACTGAGCACATTTCATCACTGTAAAACATGTTTAGTCTGTTTAAGTGGTTTCATTCAAGTCACATTAATATTTAATGTGAAGCACAGCAAAGCATTTTAAAGATTTTTTATCAATCCAAATAAACCTGTTGATGTTCATGCTGTTTTTCTGTGTCTGTGTTTGCGGCAGTGTCCCTGAGTGACGGAGCGTGTGCTGAGGTGGACTCGGACACAGAGGCTGTGGTGGGTCAGGACTTTAAGCTGGGCTGCATCTCCTGTAAGATGAGACAAGAGGTGGTTGCTTCAGCTACGGTCGACTGGTACTTCAAAGCCAGAGGAGAGACCGAATTCGCACATGTGAGTTAACTGAGTGTATCAGAGAGAAGAAATGAGCTTTATCAGCTGCTTAACATTAGCATTGACCCATTAACACTAAAGTTAACCCCTTAAAGCATGAAGTAATCTCTTAGAACTAAAGTTAACCCCCTTAACACCAACGTTTGCACACTACATCGCTTACATATTAGTTTACTTACGTTATGATTCATAGTAAACACTGAATAGTAATATATATATATATATGTATATATATTATATTATATATATATATATATATATATATGAATAGTTCATAGTACCTAATGCATAATTTATAGCAATAAGTGAATCATTTATAGTAGTTAATCAACAAGTCATAGTATTTACTAAATCATTTATATTCATTACTGAATGATTTATATTCGTTACTGAATGTTTCATAGTGGTTAGTGAATAATTTACAGTAGTTACTCAGTAATTTATAACAATTACTGAATAATTCACAGTAGTTCCTAAATGATTTATAGTTATTTCTCAGCAGTTTATAGTATTTACTGAATAATTAATATCAGTCACTGAATAATGTATAGCAGTAAATAAATCATTTATAGTAGTTACTGAATGATGTACAGTAAATGAATCATTTATAGCAGTCACTGGATAATGTATAGAAGTAATTCAATCATTTATAGCAGTCACTGGATAATGTATAGAAGTAATTGAATCATTTATAGCAGTCACTGGACAATGTATAGAAGTAATTGAATCATTTCTAGCAGTAGAAAATGAATCATTTATAATAGTTACTGAATAATGCACAGTAGTTTTACAGCGGTTACTGAGCAAAGGTACTGAATAATGACACATGCAGTTTAAGGGGTTAAAACCCTGTGAGACTGTTGATCTGATGTTGTTGTCATTGCACACACAGATCTACTCCTATGACGGTGAGATGGCTACCATAATAGACGAGCGTTTTGAGGGTCGTGTGAACTGGACTGGCAGCAGTAAGACCACTGACCTGCAGGACGCTTCCATCTACCTCTTAAATGTTAACTTCAATGATTCGGGGGTTTACCGTTGTTTCTTCAGCCGGACACTGAGCTACATGTACAATGAGCACAAGGCCACAGCCTCCAAGTTGATTCACCTTAACGTGATGGCCAAAGGTACTTTGTTCCACATAAGAGCTCAAAAAACACTTCAAAGCCCTATTAATGGTGATACAGCTAAAAATGTACACACTTTACAGTTAAACTGTTCAGTTTTGTTTTTTGTCGCAGTATATCTTTGTTTTTTTCAAATAAAACCATTTTAAATGCTAAAGTAAACTTATTTTTGTTATTATTATATTATTTATTATATTATAGTCATGCATGCTTCAGTACCAGCTGGTCTACAGCTGCACAGGCAAGGCCCAGAGACCGCATGCTGACCGAGTCAGGCAGCTCCTCAGCCAGGCCTTGTTGCTCTATTAATTAATTACAGTGAAGACTGAGGTGTGAACAGAAGTTGATATGTTACCAGGAGAACAATGATGTCTTGATTGCTTGATTAGGTTTTGTGAGCGAAAAACATCAACAGAGAGTTTTTCTGTGCGTACAGTCAGATGCAAAAGTTTGTGCACCCCTGGTCAAATGACATGTTTTGTTGATTTTCTAAGTGAAAATAAGTGAACACATCCTCTACAGAGATACAATTCTGCACATTTCAATGCACAATTACTGTTTATTAGCTGAATTTTACATATTGGAGCATATTTTATTCTTTCCAGTATGTTCAACTCAGTAAATCAATAAAAATGTGCACTAAAATTTGCAGAAAAAGGCCAAATTCAAGTTTCCTGTAGAGGGTGTGTTAATTTATTCACACTTTAAAAAGTGAACAACAAAGCATTTACAGTGCTGCTTGGACGTTTGTGAACCCTTTAGAATTTTCTAGAACCAAATTCAACAAAATTGTCCTCAATAAATAAATGACCAAGTCTAATATTTTTGTCTCATTTGTTTAATTTGGTTCTCTTTATTTACTTTTAGAACTTTCGTGAAAATCTGATGAAGTTTTGGGTCAAATTTATTCAGAAATATAGAAAATTCTGAAGGTTCTATAAACTTTCAAGCACCACTGTAACTTGACCGCGGGTGTTCAAACTTTTGCATATGACTGTGCGTGTAGTGCCTTACCGCTCTGAAGAAGCAGCAGCATCTGCCTCATTGAGCTTGCGTGGCTGCTCCTGTCCCAAACCGAGACAGCATGACCAGCGGAGTGGACTGTTTCTGTGAGGCCTTCTCGTTTACTTTAGATTTACATACATATCGACCGTAAGCTGCTCTTTACTTTGTTTTCCGCTTGTCTTCTACAGTCCAAATTAAAATACAGTGTGTTTTGGACTGGGGTGCACTTTTCAGATGCACTGTGACAGTGACTGCAGAACGTCTGACACTCCACGTGCAGGCAAACCCGAACGTCACTGTGTGGCATCACGTCCAAAGCTTTGGAGTCGACTCTTGATTCTCAAATACCTGGAATCAGAGGACTGAGTCCCAGTGCTAAACAAATGTAATTTCCTACAATTGCTGTTATCTTACTGTAGAGTGGCTTTGCGGCCAGGACTTTTATACTGAAGGTTTAGTCTGATGTACTGTTTTTCACTTCCTTATTCCAAATTATATGGGACATGCACTGTAATTCTCTCTCTCTCTCTCTCTCTCTTTCTATCTCTCTCTCTCTCTCTCTCTCTCAGCGACACGTGGCACGGCCTCCATTGTTTCAGAGGTAATGATGTACGTGTCGATCATCGGGCTGCAGCTGTGGCTGCTGGTGGAAATGATTTACTGCTACAGAAAGATCGCCGCGGCCGGTGACGAGGCGCTCAGAGCCAGCGCGTCAGTAACGCATTCACCTCCTCGTTATAACACATCATTCATTCACTCCAGCGGCTAATGATGCACCTTGTACCTTGTGCTTCCACTCACTGGCCACTTTATTAGAAACACCAATCTTGTACTTCCACTCACTGGCCACTTTATTAGAAACACCTTCGTTGTACTTCCATTTTTTGGCCACTTTATTAGAAACACTTACCTTCCACTTCCACTCACTGGCCACTTTATTAGAAATGCTTACCTTGTACTTCCAGTCACTGGCCACTTTATTAGGAACACCTTTGTTGTACTTCCATTTTTGGCCACTTTATTAGAAACACCTTCCACTTCCACTCACTGGCCACTTTATTAGAAACACCTACTTTGTGCTTCCACTCACTGGCCACTTTATTAGAAACACCAACCTTGTACTTACATCAACTAGCCACTTTGTTAGAAACACCTACCTTGTACTTCCACTCACTGGCCACTTTATTAGAAACACCTTCGTTGTACTTCCATTTTTGGCCACTTTATTAGAAACACCTTCCTTGTGCTTCCACTCACTCTTCACTTTATTAGGAACACCTTTGTTGTACTTCCATTTTTGGCCATTTTATTAGAAACACATTCCACTTCCACTCACTGGCCACTTTATTAGAAACACCTACCTTGTGCTTGGCCTGCAAGGACTGGAGCCTGACTCATGTGAAGATCAGGCTCCACTACCCACATCATAATATCAGTTACTGTAATGGAAGTGACAAACCAGCAGTCTGAGTAAAAAAGTCATTATTAACATGTGTATAGTGTGATGTTCTGACATCCAACCCATTAACCCTGATCTCTTGTCTGTGTTTCAGTGCGGAGTATTTAGCAATAGCGTCAGAGAGTAAAGAAAACTGCGCAGGAGTGCAGGTGGCAGGATAACAGAGGTGAGTTTACAGAAATGCTGCTCAGGTTTGGTTCTGGCCAGTTCAGTGGTTCTCTAACTAAAACACTCTTAATTAATCTTATAATATGCAAAATAATTAACTGATTGGACAAGGCGTATTTAGAGTGGATCTAAATTTTGCAGACTAGGGCTACAGCAGGGAATACAAAACTACTGTCCTGTAAAGATTTATGATATGATGTTGTGATAAAACCTTGTATTTCCAAAATGGTAACTTTAAAGGAGGACTCAAGTCAAGTCAAGGTAAAAACCGCCTTAACTTTGAATGGGGCGTTAATGGAACAAGATTTTATTCCAAGTGATTTTGGAACGTTTCCCTTGGTCCATTCAGCATGAAATTTCAACACAACGTACAAAGCAGCTGGTGATTTCAAATAATGTAATAAAAACAACAAAAATGTGGACACAAAGTTTTGTTCTGACAGCAACAGTATATTAGAGTAGTTTTTAGTATTGAATTAATATAAAATGAAAGGTTATGAAGTATTAATACCAGAGAGCTAGGAGAATTTACACTCTGTATTGTCTTCCAGGTTTCTGAAATCCTAGAGGGCGCTCCTGAGCAAGTCAAAAATCAATGGGTTAAGATGGAGCATTTGAGCAAAATCATATTTTAACGCAGCTGTTATATTTTTAAGAGCTTTTAAACTCTAGTTATAGGAGTTTTACCATTTTGGCTGTTAATGTGTCTCAGTAGGTGCTGATGTACTAGTATAAGCCAAAAAAATATACGATAAACGAAAACGCAGACTTACTTGCTTTAAGCTTTAGCTCAGCTATAGCCACTTTTCTCACATCTCCAGCAGGATACAGTCTCGTAAAAGTAGAGGTTTCTTGTGAAATATCTTCAACGTTCGATTTTTATGAGGCTGAAGTCGCTACTGGAGTGCTTATAAATGCAAATAAGTCCATTCAACCAACAGTCTGCACACTAAATTCTCACTAACAGTGACTTTGAGGAGACGTCTCTGTGAGCGCTGCCTGAGAAAGGGCACACAGTGACCTGTCAGCTCAGCTTTATAGCAGCCGCTTCAGAATCAGTTGTGACTGAAACAGAGACAGACAGGCGGAGTCAGGGTCAGAACTGACCTTGGGTCAGCGCTGCTCCCACTAGCCGGCTGTCAGGAAGGCCTGGGCCAGCTCTCACAGCTGCCAGCAGAGATCTCATCACTAGCCATCACACTGTCCTCTGCTTTAGGACGCAGTTGATGTGCTGTTTTGATTCATAGCAGCTGACTGGTGTCAGTGTGTTATGCCTGTGGACGGTGAAGAGTCCTGACCGCTCATTAACAGAAACAGTTCTCAGCACTGCTTTTAATTGAATGTTTAAACTGAAATGCATTTGCAGAATTTCTCATTAAAAATAACTGCATCATTATCTTCTGGATTTGTGGTATGCACTGTATGTCATAATCTGATGTAAGGGTTACACTCAGAAAAATGGTTCTGTATAGTATTAAATAAGGGTTCTTTGGTTCATAACAATAGAAAACTCCTTTTTTGGTTCTGTATAGAACCATTTTTTAAAAGGTTCTTTAAAGAACCTTAAACAGGAGGTTCTCTTACAAAGAGATAAACCATTTAAGCTTTGATGAACTTTTTGTGCATTCAAATGGTTCTTTGTCATGGTTCTATATACAACCATCGCCTTACTAAAGAACCACTGAGGAACCCTCGTTTTAAGAGTGTTACTTTTCAATAAAGAGAAACAATAAAAAAAAAAGCCCTTCTAAAGTTTTTTATTATCCAAGGGTAAATTAATTGGGGTTAAATTGTAAGTTGCTTTTGCTTGGTGGTTGCTATGGTATTCCAGGTAGTTGCTATGGTGTTGCTATGTGGTTTGTATGGTATTCCAGTAGGTTGTTAGGGCGTTGCTTGGTGGGTGCTAGATCACAGTTATGGTACTCATAGTTGGTTGCTAAGTGTTGCTAAGTGGTTGCAGAGGTATTCAAGGTAGTTGCTAGGGTGTAACTAGGTGGTTACTAAAGTGTTCAGAAAGTTGCTAGGTGGTTGCTATCTTATCTCAGGTGGTTGCGAAGGCGTTCCTAAACAGTTCGTATGTCATTCCAAGTGGTTGCTGTGGTACTGGACGTAGTTGCTAGGGTGTTGTTAGGTGGCTCCTATCATATCTCTAGTGGTTGCTAAGGGTTTGCTAGGCCTTCCAGGTGGATGCTAGGCAGTTGGTACGGTATCTTTGGTGGTTGCTAGAGTGTTGCTGTGGTGGTTGCTAGTAAATATGTGAATGTGTATTTGTATGGAAGAGGGTGAGGGTGCGAGGTGTCTATTGTGGGATCATTTGTGGCAGTTAGATTTACATTGAACACTGACACCATTCATTTCCTATGGGGAAAAGTTTTTTGAACAAACTCATATGTACACTTTTGGTTCAAAAACAAGCTAATATAAGGGACAGTAAGTTGGCTTTGTTAAAACAACTCAATAAAAACAGCTTAAATGCTCACTAAACATGTCACGTGATCACAAAGCTAACCAATAAAACTTGGTTTTGGGTTGTCTCTTAAAAGCGGCTGCTGATTCAGAGAGTCAAATTTAGTCAGAAGACATTTTCAAAGTTTTTAGGCACAAGCAGAAAACGTAGAGCCCCCCGTTCGCTTCAGTTTAGTCTTTGGAACAGACAAAAGTATTTGATCAGATGACCTCATCTGACGATTGTATAGGGAGCTAATAATTCACTGATACTTTCACAGGCATTTGCCATGCAAAGCCTGATAGGCACAAGCTAACAGCCTAAACAGCTCCATCATTAATATCACAGGCTTGAATTAGAGCACTTACTATATGATTCTCTGTAAAACGGCAGTATAGGAGTCTAAAAAATGTCACCTGAATGTGTTACACGCTTCAGATGTCCGTGTTTCAGTCAGAAGTCGCATTAATCCCTGACTGAGTCTCAAACGACTCCGTACTCCCTAAACGGTGTGCAAGCTATGAAAGTTTAGAACTTCTAGCCTCAACAGCCAAATAGTGCATCATGTATCGAGTGTGGATGTGTCCGCGTCCCAAATGACTGTTTCTTAGCAATGTTTTGCACCGTTGGGCTGCAGGATCCAGTATTTGAATTCCTACGTAGTGCACTATGTAGGGAGCAGGGGGCCATTTGAGATTCAGCCCCAGCTTGAGGAGAGAGGCGCCGCTGGATTGGTGCTAAACAAGACTTGGTAGTGCTGTTCATTATTATATGACAAAAAGTCATGAAATGACCGCATTGTACAGCGATAGGTGACCGAACGTTCTCCTCATTTGGCGTTCAGTGGTTGCCTGGCAACGATACCATACTCCAAAGGAACTACATTTCTTGGCGGAATACTTTATGCCGATTATTATTAATAATAACTTAAATTATTTTCAGAAAAATTGTGTATTTTACCAGATTTTATGTCGGCTGCCATTGTATAAAAGCAATAAGCCACGAGAGGCCGAGCATTACAGTGATTTTATCACAGGAATGGGAGTTTTGGGCACTTTGCATCGTGCCTTCCCGTGATAAAATCGCAGTAACACATGGCCTCTTGTGGCTTATTGCTTTATTATATTACAAGGCAGGATGCCCAAAGTGTGGACCTGTGGATCTGATTTAGTCCACGAGAATGTTACTCAAACAGCATCCCCTCACCTGATGAGAGAATAAACACAATTTTAAACTATATATAATGTATCATGTTCTTATTTTTCTTTTAAAATGTATTTTTTAATTCATTTCAGTAACAGAATTCAGTGTAATGTCATGAAATACATTTTCAAAAACCACAAACTTTTGCCCCCCCCGTATATGTAAGATATTGTCATTGGGTTATACAGGTTTCTTCTGTTTACAGGTTCTTCCTGCGCTGCCCATGTCTGTCGCCACACTCTGGTCTTCCACTTCCTCTCCACTCCACTCACAAACGTCCAGGATGCCCCCATTTTTTATACAGCCTACTTCTTACCTGGTCCAGGACTGTCACAGAGAAACGTCTCCCAGCTTTCTGTCCTGTAGCGTGTCTGCACCACTTAGAGCTGCCTCTGCTCCAACACTCGAGTCGAATAGTGTTTTAGAGCACGGAAACAGCTCAGGCCTGTGCTGTGTAGCAGTTTCGCAGGATGGATGATTGGAAAATATGGACTTATAGGACTAAAACCTCCAGTTTGCATGAGTTTAATAATAATCACAGCATGACTCCAGCATCCCTCCTAACCAAGTATATGCTATACCTCATATATATGTATATAGATATATATAGATATATATATAGGCTTTGTTATGGAAACATGCTTCTCCTACCTACTGTGTGTATCCCAGCATTGAAATAGAAAAATAATGCAAATATTGCAATACTTTCACAATGCACTAGAGGTCAGTAAGGAGCAGTGATTTCTGCATAGTCTTGCTCACTTTTCAGGGCCATATTTACCATGGTGATGTATGCCAAACACCATGCGATGCTATGGGCGCATGTGCAAGCAGCCAGTGCTACATTGATATGCTGGGAGAACAGTTGGCTACAATGCTAGTTTGAGCCAATCTGTTCCTGTCTTTCAAGGATGGAGCTTTGTAAACCACGGCCTCAGATTACGAGGCTCAATGCTTGAATGGGCTTGTCCCATTTATACCTACACACCTTTTTTTTTCAAGCTTTAGTTCAACTTGCGGCTGTTGTCGGCCTGCGCACAAGATATCTCCAAGGGGCTTTATGAGCTTACTTGTTCAATCAAGTGAGTCTGTGGGCCACTTTTCCCAGACTAAGTCCGAGTCTAGACTCAAAAGAATTTCCATTGGTAATTGAGTGCCATTAAGTCCAAGGCTAGGCTTAACCCACGTCTGGGAAATCGGCCCTGTAAGTTTAGGCATAAGTGGATAGTTCATATTATCAACGACTACTAAATGTTTATTAGTGAATGTAATGACTCTATAAGAATGTCACTAGGGAACCAGCACTGAACGGCTCCACTCAGCGGTAGATTACCTCCTGCTAAAAATCCAATATGAGTAAAATAGTCCTAGGACTGTCTTAGAGCCCAAGTTTCTGCACTTTAGTCTTTTCAGTGAATGCATGATCAATCAGCAACTAAGCAATGCAAATATATTAGAAACCTAAAGCCTACTACTGCTACTTCATCACAATACTCGCTGCTTGACATTTTTAGGGCAAAATAAGATAATGCATCAAAGTGAACGGCAAAATATAAGCTGTGAAGGAAAATAATCTGTCGGGACAGAATTTATGTCAATTAAATAAGTGAAACAACGTCACTTTGGTGTGTTTTTCTTCCAGAGAAGTGTGGTTTTTGATTTGAAGATGCTGTAAAGAGGATAAAAATTTCTTTGTTTATTTTTTACAGCTTTTTTAATTTTAAATTTTTGCTTATCATGTAAGATATGCCAAATGACCTCATGTCCATGGACTTGTAAAAGTATGTGTTGTATGGGAGAACGGGGCACAAACTGACACGTGACAAAATATAACGTAGATATTATATGTAGTTAAACAGGTTCAAGTAGAATGTGCTTTTTGTCATGTTCTCATATTGTTGTAGCAACATCATCTGCAAATTTCAACAGCAATTGGACAGATATTTTTTTTTGGACCATAAAAGTAAGTTTTACATTTTTTCCGTTGCTGAGTTGTGTGTGAACGTCACAGAATTCACACCTATATTGTATTATATCTCCCACTTGCTGGTTATAAAGTACAGTTGTATGCAAAACTTTGAAGTGAAAATAAGTGAACATACTTTACAGGGAACACATTTAAATATGGCACTTTTTCCGTAAATGTTTGAGCACAGTTCCTATTTATTTGTGTTTGATTTGAGTTTAATGTAATGGAGAAAAAATGATCTTTGCACATACAAACACAAATAAACAGTAATGGTGCATTAAAATGTGCAGAAGTGTGTTCTTTGTAGGACACAGTTCTCTTAGAAAACTTGTTTTCACTTAGAAAGTCATTTGACTGGGGTGCACAAATTTTTGCACACGACTGTAGCACCGATTTAAAACACATAAACAGCTCAGAGTGAGAGCTAGCTAGGCTAAGGTGCAGCCTCCACATGGCAGAGTTAGTTTTAACAGTGTCACAACTAAGCCTCTCTGAATAAACAATCAGAGAAGTGTAAATATATAAATGCAAAAAGATTTTATGCAGATTCATCTCACAAACTTGGTGAAAATCTGTTGAGTAATAAGGAAGTTGTGGCTGATTTAATTCTGAGACTAATCGTCTTTCAGAACAAGTGATTTTGTTCACAAGCAGATCTTGACGGCTCCAACATGGCGGACGCCCAGACGTATCGCCTCAGATAGAGAACAACAGACAGCGCGGCATTTAGGTATGTATATCTATGGGAAACACCCTGGACAGGTTGCGAGTCCATCGCAGGGCAGACACACACGATGACACCTATGGGCAGTTTAGCATGTTCAATCAGACTGCAGGAGGAAACCCACGCAGACATGCGAACTCCACACAGGGCCCTGGTCGCCTGGCTGGGGAATCGAACCCAGGCCCTTCTTGCTGTGACCATTCTGTGCTGCCCCTAAAACCTCTTATTCTCCAGGGTGTATGTTGGTTTGTCCATCTGAATTAACATGACCAAATCATAAGGCAAATAATTCAGTAACTGCATGAAATAAATGTACATTGTATATTTATTTATTTATTTATTTTTTTGGGGGGGGAAAAGCTCCCCTTAAATTAACAAAACATGTGTTTTATGATCTACACATATTTCTATCTGCTTACAATTTACTGCTGAAAGCCAAACATCTCAGACGCTCTTTGTATTATTTTATAAAATAATTGTTACAGAGCAGATCACTGAAGAGACGCCATCTGTTTATAGTTTATCGCCCAGATTTGTGGAAAAATGGGTCGACTTTCAGTAGATAAACAAATTGTGAGTTCAGCTTCTTCTGTTATAAGAGTTACAGCTCTCATATGACCCCCACCTTTTGAATGTAGCTTATGAAATATGAAAGTTATGAAGAATATGACGAAGTGTGTTTTGGAACCACCGGTTGCATTTACATTAACCTTCACTGGAATTAAGGGGCCTGAAAAACAGCCACAGCCGATTATCCCTCCTCCACCAAACTTTACTGTCAGCACCATGCATTCCGGTAGATAGTGCATCCGCCAAACCAGATTCACCCATCAGACTCCAGAGTCCAGTGGCGGTGTGCTTACACCACTCCAGCCGACACTTGGCATTGCACATAGTGATCTTAGGCTTGTGTGCAGCTGCTCGGCCATGGAAACACCTTCATGAAGCTCCTGATGCACCTTTTTGTGCTGATGTTGCTTCCAGAGGCACTTTGGAGCTCTGTAGTAAATGATGCAGTGAAGCATAGGTGATTTCCACATGCTACATAGTCCTGCTCTGTGAGTTTGCTTAGTCTGGAGCAGATCTAGCAGGTAAGAAAATTCACAAGGGGGCCTCCGATGACAGTGCCATGTTTAACGCCACTGAGCTCTTCGGTACGACTCATTCTACTTCAGAAAAAGTATTGATGCTTTGACTCTGGTGGGCAAAGAAAGCAAATCAAGCCTCTCACATGAAACCGAGATGACCAAACTGAAGCTCTCATATTCTGAGAAGAACCAATTCATTGGAAAAGCCAACTTAGCTTGGAACAGTTGAAGGTAAAAGAGGGAGAGGACGGCCAGCAACAAGATGGAAGAAGATAAACAGAGGAATCATGAAGCAGCCAATAACAAGCCTGAGAAGCCAAACAGAAGACGGAGTATTCTGGAGAAACACTATCCATATGGTCACTGGAAATCAGAACCGACTTCGCAGCAATCAAAAATAAAAACGCTTTTAATTTCGTCTTTATGTCACCAAAGTAAGAAAACTGTGTCTTCACTATGGGGTGAAGTATATATGATGCAAGATGTACCTTTTCCAAAGCTCTGAGTTAGTAAATCCAGTTCTATTCAGGTCAGTGACTCACTGATCCAGTTCAGATTTCAGATTTTAACACCTGTGATTACAACCCCACTTGCAAAAAAGTTGGGACGCTGTGGAAAATGTAAATAAAAACAAAATGCAGTGATGTGCAAATCATTTAAACCCTATATTTCATTGAAAATAGTGCAAAGACAACATATCAAATGCTGAAACTGAGAATGTTTATTGTTTTTTGAAAAATATTTGCCCATTTTGAATTTAATGCCATCAACACGTTCCAAAAAAGTTGGGACGGGTGGAACAAAAAGCTGGTAAATTTGTGTAATGCTAAAAAACACCTGGTGGTTGATTGACAACAGGTCAGTAACATGATTGGGTGTAAAAGAGCATCTTAGAGAGGCGGAGTCTTTCAGAAGTAAAGATGAGGAGGGTTCACCGCTCCGTGAAAGAGTGTGTGGGAAAATAGTGCAACAATTCAAGAATAAAGTTTCTCAATGTAAAATAGCAAAGAACCTCTGATTCTCATATCTACAGTAAAGACTCAGAGAATCTCTGTATGAATGAATGTCTGAACACATTGGAATTAGACCTCTGCATTTAACCCATCCGTGCAGTGAAACACCACATACACACTAGTGAACACACACACTAGGGGGCAATGAGCACACTTGCCTGGTGGGCAGCCCTATCCACGGCGCCCGGGGAGCAGTTGGGGTTAGGTGCCTTGCTCAGGGGCACTTCAGTCATGTACTGTCAGTAGAGGGAATCGAACCAGTGACCTTTCAGTCACAAGGCTGGTTCCCTAACCTCCAGCCCACGACTGCCCCTCGTGTATGAAAGGGACAAGGCCAAAAACCAGGACCTGCCTCCCCGACTCTCAGTCTCTCCTTTCTTCCCACCCCCCCCTAATTCCATCTCTCTCCTTCTTCTCCCAATCTCCCTCCCTCTGTAACTCATCTATCTCTCCTTCTCTTCTTCTGTCCCACCCTCACTCTTCTCTGTCCTCCTCTTCCCCCTCCCTCTCTCCTTCTCTTCCCCTCCCTCACTCACTCCATCTCTTCCTCTCTCCCTCCCTCACTCCTCTCTGTCCTCTTCCCCCTCCCTCACTCACTCCTCTCTCCTTCTCTTTCCCTCTCCCTCCCTCACTCCATCTCTCTCCTTTTCTCCCTCCCTCCATCTCTCTCCTTCTCTTCCCTCTCCCTCCCTCACTCTTCTCTGTCCTCCTCTTCCCCCTCCCTCTCTCCTTCTCTTCCCCTCCCTCCCTCCCTCTCTCCATCTCTTCCTCTCTCCCTCCCTCACTCCTCTCTGTCCTCCTCTTCCCCCTCCCTCTCTCCTTCTCTTCCCCTCCCTCCCTCTCTCCATCTCTTCCCCTCTCCCTCCCTCACTCCATCTCTCTCCTTTTCTCCCTCACTCCATCTCTCTCCTTCTCTTCCCCCTCCCTCCCTCACTCCATCTCTCTCCTTCTCTTCCCCTCCCTCCCTCACTCCATCTCCCTCCTTCTCTTCCTCTCTCCCTCCCTTACACCTCTCTGTCCTCCTCTTCCCCCTCCCTCACTCACTCCTCTCTCCTTCTCTTCCCCTCTCCCTCCCTCACTCACTCCATCTCTCTCCTTCTCTTCCCCCTCCCTCACTCACTCCTCTCTCCTTTTCTTCCCCCTTCTTCCCTCACTCAATCTCTCTCCTTCTCTTCCTCTCTCCCTCTCTCTGCTCTTTCTCCCCATCCTCTCTCTCCTTCTCTTCCCCCCCACACTCATCTCTCCTTCTCTTCTTCCCCTCCCTCCTTTCTCTCTCCTTCGCTTCGTTCTCTCTCTCTCCTCCCTCCCTCCTCTCTCCTTCTCTTCGCCCCCTCCCTCACACCTCTCTCTCTCTCCTCCCCCCCCCGTACCCATCCTCTCTCCTCCTTCCCTTCTAACAGCAGCACTTTCAGTTCAGTAGTTATCGCTGCGTTTTTTCCTCTCTTTTTTGTTGAAAATGGACTGACCGCGTGCGCGCGTGCTTGGTTTCGATCGTGAGCGTGCGCGCGTCCGTGCGCCCATGCGTGCGTGTGTGTGTGTGTGTGTGTATGTATGCATGTGTGTGTGCGCGCGCGTGCGTGCGCGTGTGTGCGTGTGTGTCACGTGCCGACATGGGGCATTTTCTGCAGGCTGGCCGAGCCGCCTACATGCTCGCGCTCAGCGCCGATGTGGCTGTGCTTGTAGCCCGGATGCCACTTCTCAGAAAGTACCGTCAGGTTAGCCGGTAAGGTCGATGCCGTTGGATCATGTCCTATGTGTCTTCACAAGGTAAGAGGCAAACATGTATTCTTACTCTCTCTCTCTCTCTCTTTCTCTTTCTCTCTCTC